TCAGTAAAATGGATTACTTTTCTGATATTCAAAAGAAATAAAAAATTATTTCAGCTAGATGCATAATCAACTTTTTAGACAGAGAATGATAAACTGGTAAAATATTAAATTGTAAATAAAATGGAAAAAAAATCGAGCAAGAATGAATTTCATTTACATACTTTCATTGCAAGTTTTCCCGATTAATACTGTCTGGCATGCACACTCTCCTGTCCCGTTAAAACATGTTTGGTTAGCATTACATATCTCAGAACAGTTACCTGAGCAATTGTAACCAATATCCCAGCTAGGACATAATTCTGAAAATAAAGTAGTATGTAAAAAATTTTAAAAAGCTAACGAAATGTTGCAGGATAATACATTAATTTTAGTTCTTACACGTCATTTGATTTGATGAAATTTTTAATCCATTTTGTAAAACATGAGTTTCCTACGTCACAATGAGTTACATCAAAAACGTTTTACACTGCTTAGTTTTCTTTTTAAAAAATGCTCAATTTTAAGCCTTTTTCTAGAGGAAAAATTATCTCATTGTCTACACTGAAATTAAACTATAAGGAATGAAGCTTATTTCAACTTATGTTATACGATATAACATAAGTTTGGTCAATTACGCTGTTTTGTAATATAATGCTCCAAGTTATGTTGTATCGTATAACATTTGTTGAAATAAGCTTCAGTCTTTAAATATTCCATAATGTTTGCTTACGACAACTATCATTCTCCTCCCAATATCCTGGCGAACAATCCTCGCATTTTGGTCCGGTCAAATTTCCACTACAATGTGTACATCCTTCAATAATGTCGCATACTTTACAGGATTCACCACAAAATATACAGTCTTCACCGTATTTATTTACTTCACAGCCTAGAAATAAAATAAATTTAATAAATATATAAAACCCACAAACACATGACAATTGTTTTAACAGAGCATCCCTTCTCAAAAAAGGGGAAAAATATTACATCGATTACATACGATCTCTTACTCAGAAGTGCATTTAAATATCACACCAAACTCCTTTACCAGAGGATTATAACGAGGAAAAAGACTTTAAACATTATTGCACATTTACAGGTATGTGTTAAAGGTCTGTTGTATTTCTTATGTGTAAGGTATGTTCGTTAAGGTAAATCAAACTGTTGTAAGAAATTGTTGTAAGAAAAACACGTGCACCTGATTGTCATGCTGTAAAGTTTGAATTTATTTGGGGAAGTAAAACATTTACACGGACGGGGTAACTTGTGATCCTGTTGTTAAATTTGCATTTAAACTTCCCCTAGTGAATTAAAAATTTACAACATGATATGACCTTTAATCTCCACTTCACATATTTCCAAGTGAACATAAGGAGCATCCTCATCTGTAGCGTTATCATTGAGGATCCACACGTATTGTCCTTCTCTGTGACACTCCTGTTCGTTTATTACAGGTAACGTTTCATTACCTGGATCTCGGTAGCAAATCTGACTCTCATTCCATGAATTGGAATCACTAGAGTTAGTAACCCTGATGTAGTAACCTTGCAAACTTGAAGTGGAGTTTGCACCTGATGAAGAAATGCTTGGATTGTACATATATTTGAAAATATCACTTGAACAATAATTAAAGCATTTTCGAACAAGATGTCTTTGTGAAACACTATGACCCCGATGGTAGCACAGTTATGGGCTAGCTTAAAGTTTAGACAACTCTTATAAAGGTAAGAAAACTACTTTTAGAAGTAGCAAGATAATCTTTGAAGTAACTTTACCAAAATTGACATTTGCAAAATTGAATACTTACTGTCATTCCTATAGAACAGTTTTACTGACTTCATGCTGTAGACAGCTGTCAGATTAATTCTGAGCCACGCAGTCTCATTTTCGTAAAAAGTGCGAGAGCAAGATCCATTAATAAGCTGAAGTTGAGTTGTTTGATTATCTATTGCGTTACTTGCGTTATAAAAATCACTGTATGTTGAACTGAGGCTGGCCGTAGGAGTTCCGTATAGTGGTAACTTATCTGAAAACCGCACAAAAGAAGAGAGTATCCGTTATCCAAGTAGTTATCTTATTCAGAATCGTATCATGAATCTTCCTTTTAATTTGAAATATAATGATAAATTATTTCGTAATGAAAGGTGCTGTACAAAAGATCAATATGATGACAAGAGGAGAGGATATCAAAGATAAAACAATTTCCCTTCAATACTAGGGGTTATCAAGAAGTTCGTGGAATAGCGCCATACAATTAAAACGCTTTAGGTACATCAATAAATTTTAAAATATCTAGTAGTTAGCATCATTTTTTCTATCTAACGAATAAACCAGGAATCATAAATTTTATTTTTAAAATAAATTAGTATAATGTTTTTGTAGCAATGGTATGTCCACGTGATCATTACTACGATTTCGCAACCGAAAGTGTAACTGAAAAAAACTCTTTTGATATGAACAATCCCGTTAATTCAGGTATGTGTTCAGTTGGGATATAACTGTTCCATAAAATATGATTTTTTTACTTCATTCTGGAATTCTATAAAATTTTATCGTAAATTTTACATGAATTGTCCAAACAAATACAGACCCTGAGAATGTGCTACTACCCCACACGCTCGCTGCACGAACGGTACACGAACGCTACACGGTTTGCACGAGGATTTATGGTTTACACGAAACGCTACACGGTTTGCACTAAACGCTACACGGTTTACACGAAACGCTTTGCACGAAATGCTGCACGGTTTACACGAAAGGCTGCACGAAACGCTCTGAGATGTTTCTCACACGCTTTGTACACTATTTTCGCACGTTTGGCTCTCGGTTTGGATTTTCTACTCGGAATATATCGGGCATTATTGCGGTTTTATGATTAATTAAATGGAAATCTTTCACAAAGCCACATTTGGCAGCTGTTTGAATTAAATATCAGTACAGTAGTATTATAAACCGATAGAAATTTTTAGATACTCCGACAGTTGTAATTAATTAATAAATAATTGTCATTTCGTATTTATTTATTTATTTATTTATCCAACTGTTTAAAATCAAATGCCCATATCTTCATGAATGACTGTTTGATAAAATACATTTTTTATATATTAGTCATTCATTTCAATGAAATGTTTTTACGAGTATAATTTAATAAATTAAATACAAATTCGATTTCTTACTGCAGGGATATGAACTCATTGATATTAGATAATATTGATTATATTGTGTTTGATTTCCGTAGGCGGATTATTTTTGTTGATTTTCATTTACATGTAGTAATAAAATTTGCCTATGTACTCTACTAACGATTATTGATAAATTTTTGAAGAAATTTATCTTACGTAAGCATTATCTATAGAAGGGAAACCGGTAAACGGAGGGGGGGGGGGGTTAAATGTGATGTCTTAATCTATTTTTATTCTCTTTCTCTTTTTACATAAAGCTTATCAAATAACATCAGTATACCCATCATACTGTAAAATCCTTCATTTCAAAACCCGACGAAACGTACGTATATATCTGTACATTAATTAGTAGTCGCGGGCATTTGACGTACATTGTACAGTAACAACGTAGATTGATCTTTACACCGGCATTCAGGTATATTACAAGAAAACTGAGATTTATGAATAGAAATGCGATTTATAAAACAAATAATATACAATTATTCATGGTTTACTCCTAAGCTTTTCTTACATGATATTCATGAAAAAGACTACCAAATCAGTTCTGTTTATTTTACTGTTTACGGCTATAAATTCGGATTTACAAATAAAAGATGAAATCCGCTGATTTATAAGTTGTACCCATTAAATATTTATTGAACCATTTTATTTAAAAAAAAATAATAAAATCCAGTCGTAATTTTCAGGTGTCATTAAGCCAAGAACTCAACATGTACATATAGCAAAACAGGTTTTCAGTTACCATACGGGATTGTAGCTTGTGACTGTTGTAAATGACCTTGATCACCGTTGAAAGGCGGAAAGAAGATTTCATTACATTTTTAAGGGGTGAATTAAAATTATAAAATTCATTTATTTGACAATAATGAGCAAGAAGTTTTATGTATCAAAAAGTATTAAATGACACATCGTTACAAAACGTTCTTTAACGTACTTTAAATGTAAAGACAAGAACGGAGTCCTGATACATTTTTTCGTTTAAAATTATAAAAAAAATAATACCGGTATTTCTTTCTTTATTTAAGAAAAAGTATTTAGAAGCGATCATCGCGTTGATAGTATATTGAATTCAATGCCCTTAAAATTGTTGTACATAGGTTGATTGACTTGACATATTTTCTTTAGAAGGAAAAGAAAACAAACAAATTTATATTATACATTACCGTGAATTTTCATTTTGCTGTTCCTTTTTTCTGTTTGTTTTTACTCCTAAAATATCACAAGCATAACTAATTCAATAATAAAATACTAATACAATTTTACATCCTGTCCCATCATAGCCATATTATGAAATGACTTCCGAAATGAATCTTACACGATTCTTGCACGAAAGTCGCACGTTTCTCACACGGTTATATGATCAATGCTTCATATGCTCTCTTACACGAAAGTCGCACGTTTCTCACACGCTTTTCGCAAGCGCCTTCGCTGACACGGTTTGCACGAAACGCTTTGGAAGCTCACCAAACGCTGCACGGTTTACACGAAACGCTACACGGTTTGCACGAAACGCTGCACGGTTTACACGAAACGCTACACGGTTTGCACGAAACGGAAAGCGCACGAAAGTTACACGCTTTTTGGGTAGTAGCACGTCTCAGGGTCTGTATATAAGGCCTTGAAAATGACGTTAAAAGGGGATGGAATTTCCTTATCCAACATTCTATATGGTTTGCTCCTGGAAAAACGTGGTATAAACATAAGAAAAGTTTTAACTGGCTACAGAGAAATAATATGCCTCCAGAGTACTTGTCTTTTAATGTCAAAATAGATTTAGAGAGAAAAGGGATGCACAGTTAATGTCGATTTGTAGTCAAGGTGTGATAAATCAATCACGTCAAAAATGACGTTGATCATGAGTTGTACATGTAGATATTGAACTCCCAAGAGCAAAAATATGCTGGCACAATCAAGCAAGCATCTCTCCCAATGTATAAATTCATTTGGAATATTATATTCATTGAAAGCTGCTGTTCATGACATTGAAGATTCACATAAACAAAGCGGATTGAAGTACTTACTCAGCTGTAAGTAACTTTATCAATATAAGTGTATGAGGTAGAGGGAGCGGACATACTGAAAAAAAAATGAAGTAGTCGGACGTCATGAAACTGACCGGCGCCGGCGCCGGGTGATGATATAATGTCGTTTTAATTTTATAATAATTTGGCAAATAATGAACGTATCAAGCTAAAATTTTCAAAATTTCTTTATTTTTTGTTGTTTTATGTTCCACATTCATTTTGAAAGCACAGACAACATAGCACTAATTTTATAGCCTCAGTCCACGAACTTTTTGATAACTCCTCGTATATATACAGTCCCTGAAAGTTTCTACTTTCCCATTTTTCCGTTCGTCCACCGTTCGTTCAGCGTTCGTTCACCGATCGTTCAGCGTGCGTTCATCTTTCGCTCTCCGTTCACAGTTTTGCGTTCACCGTGCGCTCGCGTTCACCGTTCACAAAACGTTCACCGTTCGCTCTTCGTTTACTTTGCGTTCACCGTTCACTTATCATTCAGTCTTCATTGTCATTCGGAGCTCCGAAAGGACTTATCTTTTTGATGGTAAGGATTTACACGTTTTATAATTAAATAACTAAGATATCGTGTTTGAAGAATAATTATTTCACTGCAAAAATTATCTACGATATTTATATTTCAATTATTATAACTTGGTTGTAACTTTATTCATGAAATTTTACTGGAAAATAATACATTAAGTACCTACACATGTACGTGTATGTAAAACGATGCTTAAATATTAAATTAAAAAAGGACAATGTTAAAATGCTTCACGCTCGGCAACAATTTGTTGTAATGTAAAAGACGACAAATCATTTATTGATGGATAATAATCCAAGTCTTTTACAAGACAAGAATACACAAAAAAATAATTTCTAACATGTATTTAAAAAACTGCACGAAAACATATTAGAACTACACGTAGGTCTTAGAACTATGAACAGTACTGCAGATATTCAGTAAATGAAATATCTCTAGAACTAATTAAATTAATAGCGTGATTTTAAATTTTACAAAGGACCAACTGTTTAAAATGTAATACATTAGATTTTTTTGTACTTTACGTTAAGTCTATTATTAGAGAGGAAAACTTCATTTCACCGTCCGTAAATATATGTTTGACATTCAGTATAATCAATAGTTCCTCCCCCCCCCCCCCCCCGGTCGCCTTTTCTCCCGAATCAAATTCTTAGTTAGTATACCCAGAATATTAGTATTTAATGTGTATTGAAACACAAGAAAATCATTCTTGAAAAATAACATAAAACAGTCATTAAACAGTAATATTTCAAATATATGTGCCGACAGTAGTATTCTAAATGGGCAGGGAATATGTTTCAAATTCAATTTCAAATTTAATCCGTCCAATTATATATTCCCATTATTTATTTATCTTTTTCTGCAGGAATGCAAAAATCAGATCTAGTAATGATAGGGGAAAATAATTCAACTTCTTGGAAGATGAACTAACTCTTTGCCTTCGGCATGCTCGGTGAAGCGAGATTTCCTCTGTGTCGAATGAATTTGATTGACAGGACAAACACGTGGACTTTCTGTGAACCATGTGGAGTTGACATGGATGCAAAACCCGATGAATACTGTCAAATGGCTTTGTTTATCTTAAAAATTTGATTCCTTTTACTGCTTTCGAACATTTAGGAAAAATAATACGAATTTTCATTTGATACAAAGTATATCTAGAATAAAGGCTCTCTCTCTCTCTCTCTCTTTATACATTTCTCTGTTGTTCAATAAAAAAGCTATGACAGCACATTGCGTATTTAGTTTGATTTGAAAATTTATTTTATTAATAATTGGAATGCCTCTTTCCATCATCTTGTCCGAAT